CCCCCCCCCGAGTGCTCTGCTGATTTTTAAAATTGACTAAAAGTGCCTTAGATCTGCTTGCAGCACTCCTGTATCTTGCTACCTATTGCTGACAGCCTGGCTGGCTGCTTGTAGCACAGCAAACTGCAAGGCAACACTATAGCAGCTGAAACAGCTGGCTCTGAAAGCTCAGTTCTGTTGAGTTGGGCAGAAATTTCTAGATGACACCATCAGAATAACTAAGTAGAAAGCAAAGAGCACTAAAACAAACCTCTAGTAACAACATGCCTCAAACTAGAAAGGAAAATGGATTTGGGACTCTTAGTTCTGTTCTTCTTGGTCCTCTCACTTCTGGCATGGGCAAAGTCTTGTCCTGCCTGTGAGGTGCTGTTGGAGCCCAATGGGTGTTTAAGAACAGACTGTTCCCACAGATCGGACCTGGGAACTTCTGAGATGTCTGTAGATGGTAGTGCTGAAAGATGCTTGCTGAGAACGTGCTTGCCATCTGCTGGAAGATCGTGTCTGTTTGCCTACAGGCTTTTCAACCTGCTGACTGTCAGCCAGAGATTCAAGGGGCACAGGCAGGGCATGCTGCAGTATGTGATCTTAAATGCCTGGCTGTTCCTTGGAACAGGAAAACAACTAGTTACTACATTTGGTGAGCTGTCCTGCTGTCACTAGTGGCTTCTTTGCATTTGCTTTGAAGGGGCTTCTTTCTAAAACTAACCACAGGAAGAAGCATTGTGGCTAGCCAAGCCATACATGGTACAGAAGAGGACGCATCTCTCCCAGTAAGCTGAGGGAAGGGGAAATGAACTAAAATAAAGGAAAGATTCCTGTGTTGATGTTCACATCTCCATGGCAACACTGCAGTTTAGAGGGTGACTGCTGTTTTCAGCAGGACATACCTCTAGTATCTCTTTCCAACCATCTCACTGTCTATTTGCAGTCCACTCTGCATGGCTCTAGTGCCTTCATGGTGGGCTGTAACCTTGACTACAGCTAGTAATATGCCAGCTCAGTAGGGTAGTGTAGACCTACTTGCATTCACACCAGCCATCAAAGCAGAGGGAGAATCCTGCTTTGAGGCCGTTGGCTAGAGTCCCTGTACTTGGAGCCAGGAATAAAACAGAAGCCCTTGCCTGTTTCAGCTGCCTTTCTGACGCAGACTGTCTGTTTGGATGACACAACTGTAAAGTTTGAGATATGGGACACGGCAGGACAAGAACGATATCACAGTTTGGCACCAATGTATTACAGAGGCGCACAAGCGGCCATCGTTGTCTATGACATCACTAACACAGTGAGTACTGTGCCTGGGCTGATCTGGGTCCTGGCTCTGGACATGAGAAGCAAAGGGTAGGTAGTGCCCTAAGTGGTGGTTTCCCAGAAAGAAGGTGCTGTCTTGGCTGTGCCTTTGTAAATTGGCTTGCCCAAAGGATGGGCAATATGTGGGGCCAAGAGCCCTGGGATCAAATGTCCATTTAAGTGGATGGAGACATTGGTTGAAGCTTGGTATGCAAGTCACTTGAGGGCCTGGCTTAATATGCTTGGTAGATGGGTGCTCCTCCCTTGCTGTCAAGATGAGCATGCTTAAAGATTTGGGCTGGGGGGGGGCGGGGAAAAAGACTGTCCTCTTTGACCATAATCCATCTGTTTCAGGATACATTTGTACGAGCCAAGAACTGGGTGAAAGAATTGCAGAGGCAGGCCAGCCCCAATATTGTAATTGCATTAGCAGGCAACAAGGCGGACCTTGCCAGCAAGAGAGCTGTGGACTTCCAGGTAAGCTCTCTTTATTTAAAAAATCCACAGCAGCTGCTTTCCCTGGCTCATACACACTACTGCCCTGTACTTGATCTGGATTTCTTTCTTCCCCCTCCACTATCAAACTCTCAGATTTTTTTTTTCAGGCTGAGTTGGGTTAAGCTTCTGTACCTGAACCTACCAAGCCCACTAAAAAGCAGAACAGGAGTAATTTTGCTCTATGGTGCTGCACTTCATTTAACTAGATGTCCTCCTTTTTGGCAAGGTATGGCCCACAGCACTTGAGCAGAAGCCTTTTTTTTTTTTTTTAAATGTCAGATTCCTGAAGAATCATTCCCAGGCTGCTGTCTAAACCGCTTCCCTACCTGAAGTGAACCTGTTCTTTTGTGGTCTCATCCTGAGCCAGGCTTTGCCCTTGCATTGTACTTGGGCAGGCAGCCTTCGAATACTCTGTAGTTCCAGGCAAGGATCTCCTAAGATATTAAAACATGACTTCCTCGGTGTACCTTATATCTCCTCTTAGTGTCTCCATAAGCTTTCATGGCTCTTCAGTGGAGTATTAGATAGAAAACTGGCTGGATCACTTCTTCCTTGGAGGGTAGTAGCCGATAGTTTGTCTAGTTGGAAGGCAGTCTCAAGTAGAATGCCTCAAGGGTCAGTCCTGGGGCCAGTTTTGTTCAATATCTTCATCCATTTATTTGGAAAATGGGATGGAGTGTACCCTCAGCAAGCTTACTGATAATACTGAGCTCAGAGTAGTAGATATGCTAGGGGGTAGGGCCAGGATTTGGAGAGAGCTCAACAAATTGGAGGATTGGACCAGAAGACTCCTCCTCAGAGCTCAATAATGACAAGAGTTTGTTCTAAGTACAGGACTTTGCAATCCCATGCACAGAGATAACCCAAGCAGGGTACACAGCCTAAGGCAAACTAGCCTGTGGAGGACCCTACCCCTAGACACAAGCCAGCAGGGGGTGTGATGCCAAGCAGCTGGATGTGAAGCTGGCAGCAGCAGTACAGAGTCACTGCTCTGCCCAGCTGCATGGGGCCCAGGGTGGTTGCCCTGATGCGCAGTGTCATCCTGTTTCTCTTCTCTTCCCCCTCTCTCTCATGACCCTGCCCATGCACCAGTACAGGCTAGGGACTGACTGGCTAAGCAGCAGCTCTGCAGAAAAGGGCCTGTGGGTTACTGTAGACAGTAAGCTGAATGAGCCAATAGTGTGCCCTTGTTGCAGAGAAGGCTAATGGCATAATGGGCTGCATTAGTGTTTCATAGTAGTTTCATTGTTAGTAGGGTCAGTAGGGACCTGAGTAGATCTAGTCTGACCCCCTGCCATGGCAGGAAAGAGTACTGGGGTCAAACGACCCCAGCAAGGTATACATTTAACTTCCTCTTAAAGACCCCCAGGGTAGGAGCCAGCACAACTTCTCTTGGAAGTTGGTTCCAGATCTTAGCTGCCCTGACCGTGAAATAGCGCCTCCTGATATCTAGCCTAAGTTCCCACAGATGGAGAAGAAGTGATATGGCCTGCAGTGCTGAAGGGAGGGGAACTTACTTGGAGTGCTGTGTCCAGTTTTGGGGCCCCTACTACAGAAAGGATGTAGACAAATAGGAGAGCCCAGCAGAGGGCAATGAAAATGGTTAGAGGGCTGGCACACGTGACTTGCGAGAAGCAGCTGAGGGAGCTAAGTGTATTTAGTCTGCAAAAGAGAAGCCTGAGGGAGGATTTCAATAGCAGCATTCAACTACTTGGGGTGGGGGGGGGAGAGCTGTTCTCTTTTTTCCAAAGAGGATGGAGCTAAACTATTTTCAGTGGTGGCAGATGGTAGAACAAGGAGCAATAGTCTCAAGCTGTAGTAAGGGAAATTCTGCTTGGATATTGTGAAGAACTTTCTCACTAAGAGGCTACCCAGAGGCTGTGGAATCTCCAGGTTTTGGAGGCTTTTCAAGACACAGCTAGACAAACCTTCTGGAGGCATGATCCTGCTTTGAACAGGAGGCTGGACTAAATGCCCTTCTGAGGTCCTTTCCAACCCCTGCTTCCTAAGATTGGAGTTTTTTTATTTGTTTTTAATGGGTGGGCATCTTGCACAAACCTGCCAAAGCAGGGCAAATTCTTAGTATAGCTGCCAGTATCTTGACACTTCGCACCCCACCCTCATACTGTCAGAAGACCTCTCAACTCTCCTTGGTTACTGCAGGTCAAGGGAAATAAATGGTCCTGGAGGCAAGAGCAGGCTGGCTGCATCCCTGGCTTGCCTTGCAGCTGACTTCCCCTGCAAGGAAACTGCTGGGGGCTTGTCCAAGCCCTTGGCTGATCTAATGCTAGGTGGGCAGAACACTGAACTTATTTACTTACAGGATGCCCAGACGTACGCAGATGACAATAGCTTGCTGTTCATGGAGACGTCAGCAAAGACTGCAATGAATGTGAATGAAATATTCATGGCAATAGGTAACTACTGACTTAAGGTGGGGCTGGGGTGCACCAGTGTCCTGAATGTCAGTGGAATCCATTGGATATGATGCTGCTGCCCAGCTAAAGCTCAGGGCAGCTGCTTTCCTTAAGCCTTGTGGCTCCTTGTAGCCTGAGTTGCACCTGTCACTCAATGTTGTCTGGAGCATGCTTCTGGGGATTTCTAACCCAGTGTAGCAGTCCCTGCTGGAAGATGGCTATGGAGCCAATGGTGAACTTGAATGTCTTTGTGGCCAACCTACTGGCCTTTCTTGCATGCCTGTCTAGGAGGGACAGTAGCTTACTGGCTCCAGACTCAGCTGGAGTGACCCAAAGTCTGAACTGCTTGAAAGCAGAAGCTTGACATTGGAGTAGGAAACTAGAGATTACTAGTTCCATGGGGTAGCTGGCTCTTCAGTGGCAGCAACAGCACCAAACTAACTTGCTTTTCTTCCTCTAGCCAAGAAACTGCCAAAAAATGAACCCCAGAATGCTCCTGGTGCCCCTGGCAGGAATCGGGGTGTTGACCTTCAAGAGAACAGCCAGCCTAGTAAGAGCCAGTGTTGCAGCAATTGAGCAACTCTTCCACTTGAGCAAAGCCCTGTCAAATGACCTGACTGGAATCCACTCTAACCAATCGCACTTACGGTAGAGCAGCTGCTGATTGTGGCTGCTGTGATTTTTCTCCATACCCTTCTGATCCTAGGCTGGAGGGAGCTACTCCACCTGCACCTTTCTGTATCAATACTAATTCAATTCTAAGTCTTAAGTCACTTTTTTTAACATATGAACTTCTGCTCTTCCCTCTTCCTGGTGGTGGATACATGACCTGGTGTCTGCCTGGCCTGTTCTTCCCTCCCTTACTTCTGTTGGGTGGGGGCTAGCAGCTTGCCAGGTTCCACAGCCGCCTTGATCACTCTATTAAACAAAGGGATAATAGACATAATCTTGTGTTTAAAAATTTATCCACATATAAAAGCTAAGGCTAGTCCAGTACAACACCTGTAAGAACCACTAAACAAAACAGTAGCATTATAGTGATGTTTAAAAAAAAACAAAAAAACAAACAAACAAACCTGTGGCTCTTGGGCCATATGTATTGACCAAATCACAATTATGAGTATTTTGGGGTGGGATGGGGGGGCAGAGGGGAGCAAGACCTGGTTTCTTCTGTATTTTGTATTGTATGTTTCTTCAACATGTAACCAATCAGTATCTTGTCAATATAGTACATACCAACTAGCCTTCTGTTGTCTTTATTTTTGTGTTGGACTTTAGCATGCCAACTCTTTTTTTCTATCTCCTTAGTTCTGTTGTAATGCACTAATCCTGTTGCAATTTTTTGGGGGGAGGTAGGGGGTGGGGGACAACCAAATCTTGTATAGAATAAATTGTCTTTTTTTGACAGTGATGTGATGCCACTAATGTTAATAACCTTCCTCTAGTGCAAATTGATCTGGCTTACTGATGTACAGAGGTGGGGGGGGAGGGATGGGGGAAAATTTTGGATAATCCTTTTTTTCTTGTCTGTGGAAACCATATGTATTACAAAAACTTGTGATTCCACAAAATAGGGCAGGAGGTATTAAAATGGCTTCTGTTGCCAGAATCTAACTGATGTTGGCTGCTGCCTAGTGCCTGATGCAATGTCTTATACATATTGGTATTTAAAGATGAACTGTCAACTTAGTCTTCATCACAAACTTCAGTTTTGTGTGTGATTAAAAAATTTTTATAAACCTATTCTGATTAGCAGTGTGTATGTGTGTAATGTCTGCTTCTAGTCTGGAAGACTTGGGAAAACTGGGGCTGGGAGGGACTTCAGGTCATCTAGTCCAATACCCTTGCTGAGGCAATATCATTCCTAAAAATATGCTATCCCAGTTAAGTGTCTAAAATTTTGCTTTCCAACTTCCAGGGCTGGAGATTCCACAGCTTCTCTAGGTAGCCTGTTCTAATGTGGACCACCCTCAGTTAGGAAACTTCTTTTTCCTCTTTCCCCTCCCAGTCTTCAACCTAAGCATCTGCTGCAGCAGGAGGTCATTTGCTCCTAGTCTTGTCCCCTGTGGCCATAGATGGGGGGGGGGGGGTCCCCCACTCTAGTCAGTTTAGGTATTTGGAGAAGAGACAACTAAGGTGGGATTTGCTAACAGTTTTCAAACTGAATAACTTTAACACTTTCCTCCAGTAGTGGCCTGGGAAGCAAGACTTAGTTTCATAGTTGGTAGGGTCGGAAGGGACCTGAGCAGATCATTGAGTCTGACCCCCTGCCATGGCAGGAAAGAGTACTGGGGTCAAATGACCCTGGCAAGGTGTTTTTATCTAGCCTCCTTTTAAAGACCCCCAGGGTAGGAGCCAGCACCACTTCTCTTGGAAGTTGGTTCCAGATCCTAGCTGCCCTGACTGAAGTAGCACCTCCTGATGTCTAGTCTGAATCTACCCTCTGCCAGCTTGTGACTGTTGTTATTTCTGGTCACTCCTGGTAGTGCTCAGGGGAACAGACTCCCCCAATGCCTGCTGGTCCCCCCCCCCAACTAATTTATA